GCCGTGACAGGGGGAGGGGCTGGATTCCCCTCTCCCCGCTCCGATCTGCCAGCGCTGACTGGCAGAACGGACGGGGGAGGGGGCGGGTACAGCTGGCTCTGCCTCTTGATAGGCAGAGCCAGCTGTCACTCACGCAGCTGGGCGGATCCCGACGTCCAGGTCGGGATCCGCTCCGGCTGCGGCGTCTCAGTATACAGCGAGTTGTAGTTTGTGTCCTCCCGTTACCCTAAGGAGAACTATGGGGAAAAACACTGACCCCATAGTTCTCCTTTAAGATACGCATTACTACTGTGGCTATAGATGCAAAGCTATGTTCCTGAAACTCATTAGAACTGAAGAAGCAGCTTGGATAAGCTGTGAAACGTTTTCAATTTTACAGAAGAAGTTTATTTCTATGGAAAAAAAATTTAAATCACGTCTGATTTTGATAAAGTATGCTGTGATAAAAATGCAAAAAAAAACCCCCATAAGTACCAAAAAAAATTGTGGGACATTTTCATTGAGTTTTTATGCATTTTATTGCGTTTTGATGTTTAGACAGAATGGCAACTTGAAAAATGTTGAGAGTAGAGGTGCACCGAAATGGAAATTTCGAAAACGAAACCGAAATAAAAAAAATTGTCAGGCCGAAACCAAAAATGTTTTTTATTTTATTTTTTTTCTAATTTTTTATGTTATTTTGATTTATTTTTTATAAACTTTTTTTATTATTTTGATTTATTTTTTATTAAATATTTTTAATTTTTACTTTACTTGTAGGGGCTTTGGGGAAATATTAGGGGTCTAAACAGACCCCTGATATTTCCCTTTTTAAAATAGAAAAAGAGATTGAGGACACAAAGTCCTCTATCTCTTTTTCTGCAGCCCCTTTTATCAATGAACAGGAATCCTCTATACTGAGTGTTCCTGTTCATTGATAACATGAGGGCATTGTGTGTTTACTATAACTACAACTATGAATGAACAGGAGGTGATGCAGATCACTTCCCATTCATTCATTGTAGTAAACATACGATGTCCTCAATTATTTACAAAGACTCGGCGATCACTGACCGCTGAGTGTTTGTACCTGCTCTCCTCTCTGACAGCTGTCACTGGAGGCTGAGCGAGCGGTGCAGGGAGGAGAGCTTAGCCTCCTGTGACAGCGCGGGCTGTCTGCACCTCCACACCGATCTGCCGGACTGTGATGGGAGGCTGAGCGGTGTGGGAGGGGAGACGCTGGCCGCTCACAGCGCTCTCCTCCCTCAGCGCTTGGCCGGCTGTCACACTTTCTCTCCTCCCCGCTGGGACACAGAGTAACGTCCAGTGGGGAGGAAAGAAAGCAGGGATTAGCCGATGTATCAGCAGGAAAATAGCACTTTCGGCATTTAGCCAAAAGTGGCATTTTCGGCCGATATGTTTCGGCGGCTGATATATCGGTGCATCCCTAGTTGAGATAGTATACAGTACCTTTTTAACATGTGTTAAAAAGAGCTTCAAATTACATCAAAATGCACCAAAATAAACAACAACACACTACCATGTACTGTCCCTTAACTTTTTTTTAAGGTGCTTTTTTTCCACACTTTTTTTACATCAATTGTCTAAAACACTGAGCAGCAAAATGCAGGCAAAAACAAGCAAAAGCACGCTCAGGTGCCATTGAAAGCCGTATAAAAGCCTTAAAAACAGGCTTTTTTATTACCTCAAAGCCCACTAACTTTGCCTTTTCCAAACATAAACAAGTATACATGACTTTTAAGGTGTAGTTTATGATCAGACTCTCATATAAAAATGTAAACCAATATCTTATTGATGCAAATTAAACATTTACATATATACATTAAAAAGCACTAGCTACAGCACAAACTTTAAAAAGCACTAGCTTGCTGAACCTGACCCCTTTGCTCAGGAAGCGATACAAGAAATTGCATTTAATTTATTTGCTGAACACTGCTCTGGCATGCTTTCCAAGCAATTGCAAACAAAACACCTTACAGTAGGTCAGTGGTTTTCCAGGTTGCATTAAATCAGGGTCAGGTCAGTAATGTGAAGCACAGTACAGAAGTCAGTAATGTAATGCACAGTACAGGTCACTAATGTAACGCATAGTGCAGAAGTCAGTAATGTAACGCACAGATGTCAGCAGTGTAAGGCAGAAAGAACAGGGACTTACAGTGCACATAGCTGATCTGATTTAGGTGCCCTCATCCTTTCCTGCCCTTTTCCAATTCCTCTCCTGATTTAGATGCCCTTTTCCTGGTGGTGCTGGTAGGGGGGTACCAGGGATCATAAATGAAAGAAACAATTTCAGGGAGGTGCCCTTCTCATTTCAGGGAGGTGCCCACTGCAATGATGGCAAATAGCAGAGGAAGCAATAGCTTCTTTGCTATCTGCAGGTTTTTTTTTGTTTTTTTGTTTAGTATTCTGACAGATTCCTATTGGCTATTTCAATTTGCAATATCCAATAGCAAGCTGGCGATTGCACCCGCCCTCTACTGCTGTCAATCACTAGAAGAGGACCTGATAGAGAACTTCAGGTCCTCCTCTGCTGATTGACAGCAGCAGTGGGTGGGTGAAATAGCTAGTTAGAGCAATATATTTATATAAGTCAATCATGTCAACTCCTATGTTCAAAATACAAATTTCAAACCTAAATCAGTTAATCTAAAGTTTAACAAAACCTAATGCCATTGTTAGATTTCGGTGTGGTCCATTGCCTCATATCACAAGAAAAGTGGTTTGCTGGATGTCGGATTGAGTAGGGGGAATAGCCACTTTCCACGGGTGGAACAAGGGGAGAGAATCTTCTCACCTCCTATATTTCGCCACAGTTATTAAAATCTCACTCCACAGCTGAACTGACACATGACATCATCACTGTGTGCCCCCGATGGCCTAATATAATGACATCAGAGATACCAGTCATAGATGCCATATGATGACACTGTAGACCCCAAGAGATGCTGAAAATGACAGTCATTCTTTGGAAGGTATTTATATATCATCACATAGTGAGGGCAGAGTTTAGCAATGGCACTTTCTAAAATGAGCAAAAACAAAGACCCCCAACACAGCCCCTGCCAGATTAGAGTGTTTACTACAATACTTTTTGAAAATAAACCATAAATTGATAAATATGTGCATAATTCCTGAGAACGCAGGCTGAGTTGTGGATGGGGCTAATCATTGCATGCATATCGCCCAACGCCAAATGATGGCTGTGACCGAATTGCAATTAAAAGCGGACGGGACTTGATGGATAAGTCTACAGTAAAATGCCGATATTAAAAAAAAAAAATCAATATACAAAAAACTGTACTGTTTTATAGCCTAAAATGGTACTTTGTCCTGTACTAAGAGAAAAAAGTGCAAACCAACACTTCCACATACAGTTTGGGTGCAGTGCTGAGCCAAGAGTTAGCATATGCCACCATCGAGAAGGAATATTTTGTGATTGTGTGGGCATTGCAAAAGTTGCAACACTACTTTGATGGGCGCAGCTTTACAGTTATCACTGATCATAACCCATTCAGCTGGTTAAGCTGTGTTGCTGGGGAGAACAGCAAACTACTTTGGTGGACATAAATTCTCCAGCAATGCGTTTTGCCATCCAACACAAAGACACGTCACAAGGCAATGTGGACAGATTATTGTGCCAAGTCGAGTCAGCAGCAGGTGGCATGTGAAGCAGGTGGAGTATCTGCTAGATACTCCAGTCTCCCCGACTGAAGCGGGGCTGCCTACTTGTGGGATTCCTTGGTGCACACATCTCAAGTGGAGGGGTCTTTCTTGGCGCTAGTGGTACAGCGAGAATAACGGGCATGTATTGAGGTCAGAATTGCCACTGCATTTGCTGGGAACAGTGCATGTTTCCATTAAAACACTTGGTGATAGCTATTGTGTTTGTGTGGAAAGGGAACTGTGAATATGTATATTGATGTGTACTGGGGAAATTGAATGACTTGATGCTGCAATTGTAACTGTGAGACAGATACCGAGTTTCTAGCATTGGAATAGTTAATATAAATGATTTACACCTGTGGGGAGGGGTTTGCGTGTATGGCGATTATTTTCAGCGCTCAGCTTATCTCTACGATTAAGCCAGATGGGTGAAACGCGTTAGTGGCTGGTGGACTTCACAGTATGTCTTTTGTTTTCTGAATAAAGATTTTATCTGTGGCGAAGATCCTGTGGAGTTCAGGAATTTTAGAGATTTGTGAAATGGAGCAGCGACACGCTCAGTACCTGCACCTGGGACACAATAGAGGAGGAGAGCCAGTCTGAGAGTAGGAGCAGTGTTTTGCACCATAAGATATTTTAAAATTGTTAAGCTTTTTTTCTAGTCTCTAAATAAGAATTTACAGAATTATTGTCTCTGTTATACTTGCTACCATACTGTAAAACCTGTTCTATTCCTGTCTGGAGGGACAGTGGGCATCACAGACATTTCTTGAGGTCAGAATTTTCACAGCATATGCTGGGCACAGTGCATGTTTTCATTAAAACTTCTGGTGATTGTGTGTGGAAAGGGTTAACTGCAGAGTTAACCCAGCCAAGTGATAATCACTCTGTCTGGAGACTTTAGATTGTTATTTCACAAGCTGGAAAATCTTTGTGCTGAGGGGTGGTATTCTCACAGCTACTACTGCCAGGCTCTACTCCTGAAAGCATTAGTTGTCCAATGTCATACTGACCTGCTTACTTCAATCATTTAGGTCGCTTTTAACATACAAATCTTCTCTCATGCTGCCCAGCTGTGTCCAGGACCTGCAGTGCTTTCCAGGCTATGGCCCCAGCCTGCTTAGTTCCATACTATGAAATTTGTGCCTATACATTTTGACAACAGTATGATGGTTACGATTACAGCTTGCTTTCATTTGAAAGTGATCTGGTCATCTTAGAGTGAAATAAGTCATTTATAGATTTTTGTTTTTTAGATATGGATATTATGGTGTTGTCATTTTGCAATACTTTGATAAAGCAATATCTTTCTTTTCCCCACTTATGTTTACCTGTAGTGCTACCCGTAGGAAGCCAATAAAAGGTGCAGCTGGTCGCCCCATCCAGTTCCAGTATGATGACATTGTCAAAAGAGCCAGGATGAAAGAACAGGCAAAAGAAACATTGGAAGAAAAAAAGTCACAACGCTTGGTCTCTGTTCCTCTTCAGATTACTATTTTTGTTTTAGTAGCTTTTATTGTCCTAGTCTTCCTCTCCATGGAAAGCAGCCCCCAAAATCCATTTGAGCCCCCCACAGAAAAAGAAACAAAGTTACAGCAACCTTAGAAACTATAGTAAAAGGAGCTAAGTCAATTTCCTGGCCACGATCCAAATAGCCGAAATTAAGTGTACCAAAAGTTGCAGTACTCGTGCTAATATATGGAATTGCTCATGTGGAAATGGGTTACCTAGGTAACCTTTTGGAATTAATGGTTAAATGCAACTTCTTTGGCTGTTTCCTAGAGATAATTACATGGTTCTGCTACTTGCAATACACCCTCCTTTGTTCATCATTGTTTATGTTGGGCACAGGTGCAGTATGGTGCTTATATTCTTAGACTGAACATACTATAGGTCATCCTATATGGTCAGTGTTTATCCTGGTAATCATACATACAATACATCATTGTAGTGATGCACGTTAAATACTGTGAGATGTCAACACTGATTATACATTTTTTGGAAGTTGCTTTCCTGTTTTGTTTGCTTATCTTGTAGTGTTACCCTCTCCTTGTTTTCTTGTTTCACACTGTGACCTGTAATTAGAACATACTAAAATATACTTACCACCCTTTATAGTCAAAACAAGTTAACCTAATAGGAGGCACCATAGCATACTGCTGTCTCTGTGCTCCAGTCACCTTGATCCACCTTCAGAGTTCCGTGAAATGCCTATGCAAGTTTAGATCTTCTGAAAATCATAATCTACACAGGGCTCTGTTATTTTACATGGCTCAGGTTTATAGGAGAATTGGAAGGGTATGTAGAGAGATTGTGGTGCCATCTATAAAGGAAACCTGTACATTTGCTAAGTATGGGCAAAGTATAGGTGTAGGTTAAGTAGTAGCTATTGATTAGTTCTATCAGCACCATGTTATGCATCAATAGTACACTGTTGTGGGTGGGTAATATTTTACTATTTACTTTTGAATGAACAGTTTTGGTTTGCCTTGTGTTATTTAGAAATTATTTAAATAAAGTGTCTGTTTTTTGCTCATTATTGTCTACATACTGTTTCTTTAGTAATCAAAATGAAAAATGTAATGCATTCAATACACCTTGGCTCTTTAAAATATAGCTGTACCTTTGAAACATTCTATATCCAGTAATATAACTTTGCTAACATGAACTATTACTGCTATTTTACCTATACTTTACTTTCTCTGTACTTTGAGGACTGCCATCACACACCCTGGCAAACCTTGCTCTGTTGATCAACTTGTCTGTGGTTTCTTTCTTTTTTCACCTGCTCTGGATCTGCTCTGCAACTGCTGCGATGTGAACTGGAGCAAAAAATACCATTGCAATACATTGGACGCAGTTTTGATCCAGTCTGCACCTGCTCTGCTCTGGATCTGATCCGCGCTTGGTGTGAACAAGCCCTAAAGCACTCTGCAGCCCCAGTCTAGAAATGCAGAATACAAATTATAATTGAAGTGCTTGGCATTAGCCTTAAAAAGCTTTTAGCAGTTTTTAGAAATAATATAGAAGAACAGATTGGATGCAGATGCCTTTTAAGAACTGTGATACAAATCACTAACACCCAAATTAAACCAATACTAACAAAATTATGCTTTAAGTACTAACAAATATTAAAGTTTCTTTAGTAGGATTGATCTAAACAGCATTGTTTTGTGTATGTCAGTTTGGGCACTTAGAGACCATTTGTTTAATACAAATGTGACCTGACTAATGACAACAAAATTCTTAAATTTTTTATCTGGTTGGTGGCTTTGGAGCAATACCAATACAATGTCCATAGTTCAGGAACATATGCAGCAGGACCGGGTTTATAACTAGTCTCCTAAAATCAGAACCTTTAACCCCGGAGAAAGACTTTGTTTTTATGCCTTTTTTTCAAAAGTCAATTTCTAGCAAAGTGGTAGATCCACTATTAGATCAGAGAGAAAATCAGTGATGTCAAGTACTAGGTACACCAGACTGGAAATTGCAACCCTCGCCAGATCTAAAATAAAACCCTGGAAGGATTTTGAGGCTCTTTCAGCAGAAAGCAACCCTAAAGTGTCAGCAGAGAAAGTTATACCAGAGGTTAGGATGTCAGGCAAAAAAAGTTCCTGCAGAAACCGCCAAAGGTGTTTTGAGAATTACTTGGCCAAACTAACTTAATTTACTATATACACTGTATCTGAGCCTCTTGTCAAAGTAAAGTTAAGACATTTCTGGGTACCTGAAGCTCTGCGAAAAGTCATATAGCAGCCTGAGGTTCTTTAACAACTTACGAACGAAATTAAATATCTAAATTTGATGCTTATACCATGCCTCAGGTGGATGAGTTGATAGGTTAACCAGGTACATTACAAACCTTGGATCTTACTAAACTGGATGGGTAGGTTCTTTTAGCATGCGGGGACAAAGGAAAATACAGCTTTTACAACACAAGATGGGCTGTACCAGTACATGGTCCTCCCTTCTGGCTTACATGGGGCCCTGGTCCTGCGCAGGCATAATATAACTCCAACCTGCATGCGTAGGGTTGCATCATCTGTAGCTGCCCAATGGCTGAAGCAAGGAGATGCTTGATCAAGAAGAGCAAAAGAAGATGGCAGTGATAGAGAGATCCAACGTCGTATTGCTGTAGGATTGCAGACCTAGAGGTAAGTGTGCCATAATGTGCAAGTATGCAGGAGATAAAATTCCTTTTTTACTTCAGAGCCTATCCTAAAACATTACCAAAACCAACAAAATATGTGATATGAACAATAATTGCAGCGCTACAGGTTTAATATACATAGCAAGATGCCCATAACCCTGTATTTTTGTTGAAAAAAAGAGTTAATCAACTTTGGAGGAGACTATTGCAATATGAAAATGATATCAAGGCCAGGTAAAATAATCCTGTAACCAGTTACTTTGACAGGCGAGAATGTTTAACAACACACCGAAACAGATTCAAATTAAAGAAGAGTCATAAAACTCAGGATTTACAGATAACTGTGGAGAATGGTCACTAAGGGTTCAATGCATGCTCATTGTAGGGTTCATATTAGGGATGCAGTATAGGTGCTGATACTGGGCAATTCATGAGTACTCGTGAAAATGTCCCAATACTAAGCGACAATACCATGCTTTAAATTTTTAAACAGGCAGTTACTGTAAGGTTCCGCACTTGCTGGGGACCTCAGGGTAGCCTTGTGAGGATCTTCACAGCGCTGATTACAGTGTCGGCCCGTACCCACGAGATGCCACACAGCCCAGTGACACACATTCCACACAGCCCTGGGGACACGCACACAATGCACAGCCCTCGACATAACATGCAGCCCTGGTGACACGCCGCACCCAGCTTGGTGAGATTGCGCACATCCTCCTGAGACTGCACACAGCCTCCTGAGACACCACACAGCCCTGTTGAGCAACACAGAGTATGCAGCTTCATAGGATTCTGCATGGCTGGAATTTGTAGTCCTCTATAGCTGGTGGTATTCTGCATTGTTGTATAATGTATTGCTGGGACTTGTAGTCCCTCTAAAGCTTCGAGTCAGTGACAGAACTACCAGGGTCGCAGGTGTGACTGGGCCCTGGCGCTTCACCACTGTCCTAAAATTATTAGTCTGTATTGTTTTTTAAAAAAAATAAAACAAAAAAAAAAGGATAGGTAATTACTAATTGGTATCAGCGAGTCCATGAGGAAAAGTATTGGTACTTGTACTTGGTCTGGAAAAAAATGATATCGGCGCATCCCTAGTTCATGTACATACTATGGAGCGTGATCACTGAGGAATGTATGCACATATTCTAGAGACTGTCGCTGTTGTGTTAAATGTTCTGGAGAGTGGTGTAAATGCACATATACTATAAAAAGATCACCTTATTGAGACTGACCTGACCACTGGATGTCCACTGGAGACTGGTCACTGAGGGTTTAAGACAAATGCTAGGCAGACTACACATTTAAAGGGTTATTAAACCCTCCGGTTTTTTTTTGCATATATCTACTGTTAGAAGGAAGTGTCCCTGGTACAGGCAGTGGGCCTGCACATTCCAAGCTCTGTAACAGCAGCAGAGATCACCTGTCTTCACCATGGCTGACATTCTCCCACAGCTCTTCCAGAACATAAAAAAGCCACCATGAAATCAACATTCAGGTACTGTATGGCCTAAGTGTATTTGTGTGTAGAACAGAATAACTTCCTGCTGGGTAATAATGATGATGAGCACTTGTTCTGCACTTGATTTATTCAATGGCTGGCAGAGCTTGTGGTCCTTCTGTTTTTAGGCTGTGATTGATTTGAAATATTTCACATGATTTGCAGTGTTTGAGTTCTGTTGCTGATAGTATACCTAAAGTCCAAACTCTTCTTTTTCATGTAGAAAAAAAAAGTTAAAATCCCTCCTTTTTTTTTTTGCTGTTTGCATTTCCATGGAGAGATTTCACTTCCATGCTGCAGACACAACAGGAAGTAGGGCTAGTTCACACCAGCCCCTGTGCGTTCCAGCCCACTTCGGGGCCGGGACGCATTGGATCGCATCCCGGCCGGCTCCCTGTGTGGGAGGGGGCCGCAGTGCGATAACTCGCATCGGAATGCTTGGCACATCAATGCCTGCGTTTCAGTGCGATCAGAAAAACTGCTGCATGCACAATTTTTTTAAATCATACAAGTTCCAGATTTCCTGCCAGAAAGTTTTTTTTTTTAAATGCCCCCCCCCCAAAAAAAATCCCCCATTCATTTCTATGGCCATGTTCACATCTATCGCTGGAAAAAAAGCACATGAGCTTCTTTTTGGCTGATTCTGCACTTCTTGGCCCCATAGACTTCAGTTTTGTGCGTTTTTGCAAGTTTTTACGCGTGTTTAACCACTTGAAGACCAGGGTGTTGAACCCCCTTCCTGACCAGGCCATTTTTCAGTATTTGGCGCCGCAGTACTTTGCAATGCTGTCATGCAACGCTGTACTGAAATGAATTTGATACCATTTTTTGGGGACAGATAGAGCTTTCTTTTGGTGGTATTTAATCACCACTGGGGTTTTATTTTTTACTATATTAAGGAAAAATCACCGACATTTAAAAAAAACGTTTCCCCTATATTAAATGATAAAACATTTATTATTACCCAATTTTGGTAAAATATAAGAGACGGGGTCACGTCGGGTAAAAAGATAACAAACATGTCAATCCTTAAAATTGCGTGCGTGCGCGAAACCTCAAAAAACTACAATACCCAAAATTGGCCATAGGCAACGTTTTAACCACTTCCTGGCCGGCCGTTGTAAAAAAACAGCAGGCCAGGAGCTCTCTAGATCTGAGCGGACGTCTTTAGATGTCCGCTCAGCCACGCCCCCCGCCCAGCGGCGTGCGCGAGCGGGAAATGCCTGATTTTAAAAACAGGCAGCGATGCCGGTTAACATACAAGCGATCCACCGGCTATAGAGC